CAACTGAAGACTTGGCTCGACACCGTCCGTCAGGACATGGAAGCAGTTCTTGAGCCTTCTATTTTTGGTCTTCGATGCTGGAGAAGAGACTGGATGGAGCTCTCCAGATCTGCTGCCGCCAATCGTCACGCGTAGAGAGGTACCGTCCGTGACATCATTGAGGCCGGCTGGATCAGGCATGATCACAGTCGTAACAAGTACAAGTTGCCTGGATATTCTTAGGGGATTAACCATTCTGTTAACCATTTCGCGAAAGTTCTGTGAATGCATTGCTGGAGCAAATGAAACTGCAGGTTTCCATCAATTCGAGATGAATTAGCAGGTCGTATTATCCTATACTACTTTGTTTAGAGTACCTCTGACGTTGGGAGCCCATTCTTAATTTTTTGAACGTCATTTTTCGTTAATGATATTGAATAATTCTCTTCCACAAATGCTCTCCCCCATAAGCCTCGTATACTGCATAAGATGTTAATGTTGTGCCTAGTTTCTGGAAAAGAATTCTGAAAATTTCAGGAGAAAAGCATCTATCTACCTGCATATTCTCCTGAAAATGTTGTTCATTCTGCGAAGTGCGCTTCGTGGGAACTGAAAGCCATCAGTTACCGTTAATTTTCAGTCTTAGACGAAGGAGGATCAAATTCAAAAGAATCAACAACCTCCTTAGAAGGTTTAGATTCCTTTCTATCAAAACTTGCGGGCTAGAGGCTATGAGAATTCTATTGGTCGCGAGTACGTTTCTGCACTGACTCCGCACAATTCTCGATATTTATTTAACTCGTGAGGTAATACATAAGGTGACTGCAAAAGATCTAACAGATTTTCATGGCAGAATTGAGTAACTGCGCTGAACAACTTTGAAAAAGATTCGGACTCACTACAGAAAGTGCAGAAGGCCCTCACTGCTCACACTTCTTTCGCAATACACTGCCTTACCTTTGTATTTTACACAAAGAGATGGATTTCTTTTGTTTTTATACTTTGACCTTCGGGTTTCTACCTTATACGGTAACTACACCACTTTTTAAACTCTTTGCAATGACACCTTCTGGTGGGTGTAAGGCATACGACACTAAAAATAGATCGTATTGCGCACCTTTCAGGCATCACTCATAAACCTGCGGATGGCAGCCTACGCAAAGTCTGGCGGTGAATCTTTTTCGCGTCATTAAAATTGACTCAGCTGACCTACTTGGGAGGGTTTCCTTCCAAAACACCAGTATAGGTGGTTAAACTTTTCTACGTCCTGTATAGGAAATTTGCTCTATTTTAAAACAGTTTGCCCGTCACGAAGACATCAACCGTGTCTGTGTG